AAGTGGCTTCTTTTTGGTAGACAACACCCAGCTCTGGAAATTTATCCCAAGAGAGATTGGGTTGCCCTTTTTTTTCCACCATGCCTTCCCGCCCAGTGAGCAAATGTCATTTTTAGCCAGGCCATCATCTTCAGGCATCTAAGATGAGGGTGGGTGGGTTTGAGCTTTTGTCTTACAAAGCACCCCGGCCTCCATGGAGGGTAGAGAGAGATTTCCTTTTGAAGCGCTCCCGCAAAAGAAAAAAGGGGTGAGGGAGAAAAAAGAAACTTCATTGTCAAATTCCAGCTTCTAAAATAAGAAATTCAAATGAAAACCTTCCTTGAAAAAAAAATGAAAAGGGAAAGGGAAAAAGCCCTGAAAAACCTTTGGCTATGAAAAGCTTTAATTATTGAAAAAAAGTTTTGGCTTAGTTAAAATAAGTGTTCCATGCTGGCTCGGTCAGTTCCAAGGTCTGTAAGATGTTCAAAGATTTGTTTTTAGAAGCACTACGAGTACACCTTAAAGAGGAGTCCGTCTTGATCATCTCCTTGACTGCCCCCTCTATAAGCTGGCAAACCTCCCACAATGCATTGGGAAGCAACCAGCACCATCTTCCACAGAAAAGTAGCAGGGCTTATTCGCCATCATCTGAGGGCACTTCATTCCAGATCAGACTATTCATGCTCTGTATTTACAATTCAGTTCTTTGGTTCACTGCCAAAGAATTGATGCTTTTGAATTGTGGTGCTGGAGGAGGCTCTTGAGACTCTCCTGGACTGCAAGGAGAACAAACCTATCCATTCTGAAGGAAATCAACCCTGAGTGCTCACTGGAGGGACAGATCCTGAAGCTGAGGCTGCAATACTTTGGCCATCTCATGAGAAGAGAAGACTCCCTGGAAAAGACCCTGATGTTGGGAAAGTGTGAAGGCAAGAGGAGAAGGGGACAACGGAGTACGAGATGGTTGACAGTGTCATCGAAGCGACCAACATGAATTTGGCCCAGCTCCTGGAGGCAGTGGAAGAAAGGAGGGCCTGGCGTGCTCTGGTCCATGGGGTCACGAAGAGTTGGACACGACTAAACGACTAAACAACAACATTTACTATTCTGCCCTGTAGAGGTTCTCCAGGATCTTAAGCAGAAATCTTTTCGATCTTCTGCTACTGAGATCTTTTCAAGAGGAAATTGAAGCTAGCACACAAACCAGATGTCCTTTTACTGTGTGAAGTCCTTGACCACCCCTTCCTCATTTTCTCCAGATCTTGGAGTGGTTAAATCCTTTGAATTAATTAATCTGGTTTTAATCTGGAGCTGAAAGGAGGTATATCCCAGCTGCTAACTATATTGGAGATAACATTCAGCACTTGGGATAGTTCCTGCAAAGTTCACAGTAAAATCCGGAGCAGATCCACCAGCCGAGCAAAACAAGAGTCACCAAATACCACTGGGATAAAATGATCTCTCTCTCTCTCTGAAGATGCAGTCTTTTAGATCTGCCCGGCTGGTGCCATCAACTTTCAGATGAAGCCTAAGATCCTCTCAGCAAACAAAAGTATATTTAAGAGCTGAGGACAATGTTTTCTCAGCTTCTCTCAGAAAGCAAGAGATGTTGACATCTCTGTTTGGTCCCAAACACATCCGACACCCAACGCCAAAGATGCTTGTCAACTAGAGAAAGGAGTTTTTGGAATACTTGGACTACAAACCCCATAATTCTCCATTCTTACAGACACCTAAATGTGGCTCAACTGGGAGAAAGGCCTCAATTTGGAAGGCTTTGTGGCTGAGCTTGGGCTAGCTCTGCCTAGCTTCCTGTTCAGAAAGAAAGCTCCCAGCTAGCACTGGGGCAGGAACAGGAAGTTTGGATGGAACTAGGCCTAGCTAAGCCTCAATGCCGTCCCATTTAGGCCTTTTCTGCCATAGTAGGAGGTGTCTTTGAGGTATATGTAAGTAGGAATCCTAGAATGAAGGATGATGGGATTTGTAATCTAAGGAATGCAAAAATCCCATCCTTGCTATCCAATTTCTGCACCAGAAATCACAGAGAGATGCCACAAGAGTAAGAGATGAATGGCAAGGCCATTTCTCGATGCTTATTCTACTGCCAGAAGCGTTTCGAGGCTGTTTCAAGAAAAACCATGTTTGCTGAATACATACATACTGAATAAAAGGCAATGTGCCATTCTTTCAGGGAGGAAAGCTGTATAAAGATATGGAACACAATAGCTATGTGTACAAACTCAGCACATTGCTAGAATATGGTCAGGCAGCGACAGAGCTGCTTCCCATTCTATCGAAGAGAAGGGGGAAATGTGTTATAATAAAAGCAATCCTTGAAGACAATAGGTTGCTTAATAGAATGCATTCGCAGATATCATTACTGCTATAAAATTAACCAGCTAGTTTATAGAATCCAAGCACAATGGGGTGTTAGCTTGATATCACTTATTGTAATGTACATATTTAGTGTTGCATAGATTGAGTGGTTTCAGCTCGGAAGCCTGTCTTCCTCCTAGCCACTATCATTTTGGTTTCTGTCGTTCTGTCTTGCTCTAAGATCCTCTCTTGCTCAAATGGCTGACAAAATTAGAATTAAAATAGGGAGAACGTTTTCAGCTCCACAAAACCCAACAAAGGCCCAAAAGCTATCTGGCAAAATTCTTGGCAAATTCCAACCATGTCAGTCCATTTCTGCATATACCGTATTTTTCGGTGTATAAGACGCTCCCATGTATAACACGCCTCCCACTTTTCTAACCCAAAACCTAAATGGGGCTTAGCAAGTGTAGGGGGAAAGGGATCAAAGCACTGCAGGATCACTTTGATCCCTGCATTCCCCTACACTTGTTTTTTTTTCCTCTCCTCAGCTTGCTTCTGTGTATTAGACAACCCTCAATTTTTAGTCTAAAGATTTTAAACAAAAGTATAGTCTTATACATGGAAAAATGTGGTATGTTGTTGTTGTTGTTTAGTTGTTAAGTCGTGTCCAACTCTTTGTGACCCCCATGGACCAGAGCATGTCAGGCCCTCCTGTCTTCCATTGCCTCCCGGAGTTGGGTCAAATTCATGTTGGTCGCTTCGATGACGCTGTCCATCCATTTTGTCCTCTGTCATCCCCTTCTCCTCTTGCCTTCACTCTTTATTGGTAAATTACAGCTGCCATCTTACCTTGTCATTGGACCTGAGCATGAAGACTGATGGAAACTGACATTCAAGAACCTCTTGCATGGAGTCCTGATCCCCCAGCCCTGGTCTACTCTGACACCAAGGGCTCCAGAAAGAGAAAGCTCTTCTTGCCATCTACCATCTGATTTAAGTGGAAATGGTGAACATTTCAGCACAGAACCATCCATGTTACATCGTATGGGCTCAATTAAGGAACTACCACCCTCGCCTTAATCAGTTTCAGGGCCGTTTTGAAAAACAGGCTTCGTAGCGTGGAACTCGACAGCAAAGGAGAGACAGAAAAGCCAGCTCAGCAAAAATAACCTATACTTAAAATAGGCAGAAACGGGGTCAAGTAAAGGGTGAAGGTTTGAATCTGTCTGTGTTATTATTTTTTTACAGTTCCCAGAGCTCTAAAAGATCAAGTTATGATGTCGAAGTAATGAGGAACGACATGGATAATCACGCCTTTTCCAGTTGGGCTCTGCCCAAAACACACAGATTCCCTGAAAAAGTTTGACGCGCGGCCTCTTCCAAACCAAACCCTTCATTCCCTTCCAGTCGATCCTCTCCCTCCCACTCTTTTGCCTCGACCTGGTAAGATTGAGAGCTTTCCCAACGACGGACAACGCAACATGTAGAGGAGGCATTGAGTCATGGAGGTAACCCTTTTCAAAATCAAAGTAGTTTGATGTCTGTCTGTGTAGGATCTAAAACTCAAATAGACTTAAAATCATCATCATCAACAACAAGGTCTGCCATCAAGTCAGTTCTGACTTATGGGAAACTTTTTCAGCGTTTTCCAAGTAGAGAACACTCAGAAATGGTTTATCCTTCCCTTCCTCAAGGGGTACCCTAGGAGTGTAGCTTGCCCAAAGCTATATAGGCTGGCTCTTCTTGCAGGAGGCAGAGTAGAGGATCGAACTCTCAGCCTCTAGCTCCACAGCCATATACCTGAACCATTGAGCTTTCCAGCCAGTTAGATAGAAAACAGCTGGTGCAATTTTTCTCAGGGTCAGAGATGATACGAAATGGGATGGGGGGGTCACCAATTGGGGTGCATGATGTCCACCTCAAACAAGAACAGCCCAGTTGGATCTGACCAAAGGTTCATTTGCTAGACATCCTGGTCAACCAGATGCCCGCATTGGGATATGATCGTAATAGCTCTTCCCTTCTATCGTTTTCTAGGTAGCAGTGGTGTAGTGGAGGCAGGGCTCACCGGGTCAAACACCAATGATTATCTTAGCAGCAGGAACTACTGTATGACTTCATCTTCCCTCACCCGCCACCACCAAATTAGATTTCCACGGTGACTTGCAATCATTTAAACAACCACTAAACACAAAATGCAAAAAAACAAACAAACCATAAAAATGCTCCCCCACACAAATTTTGTTTCAAAAACATACACATCCATACACTATACATAAAGCTACATAAAAGGAAGAAGGGAGAGCAGGATGCACAGTGAAATTTCAGGCACTGGGAACAGTATAGGCGTTACTCCAAGTTCTTTGGTTCTAACAAAAGGGCAGGATGTACGGTTTCGTAAATCAGCACGAATTAAATCAAACAGAAGATTCACTGCTATCAAAATCCAAGACCAGACCTTCGCTTCCCCTATGCTCTTCTGCTGTCCCCATAACGGAACAACATGAATTATCAGCTCCAAGGTCCACTATCTGTGTAGTTTGTAAAAATCACAGAATTGCGGAATTCCGTACACTGAATCTCAAGACAAGGCTTTTCGCGTTCAACCCCTAGTTTAGTTTCTTGTCTGTGAGTGCAGAGATACACACATCTGTTATCCGAGCGAACAAAAGAATAGGTTCAGCAAATGCCTCTTCACTTACCAGGGTGTGTCTCAGGTGGATGGTGATGAGAGGCGAACCCGACAGATTCTGGGACAACAGTGGTGGGGGCTCAACCTTCAAGGAGATGAGATAGCTGGAGGCTGAGATCATACAGTCTGGGTAGGCAGCCACTTCAGGAATCCTGAGAAAGAAAAAAACAACATCATTGTAGTCATGGGGAAATTTTGCTTTGCGATGATCGCAGGGAAGCGATCATCGCAAAGCCCCCATTTTCGGCCAGCTGATCGGCGGCTTCAAAATGGCCGCCGGGTAAACAAAATGGCCGCCCGCTGTTTTCAGGCACCGATTCCTCGCTTTAGAGGCACCGAAAATCGCGGCCCTATGGAGGATCTTCGCTTAAAGGTGAGTTTTAAGCCCATGGGAATGCATTAATCGTGTTTTAATGCATTTCTATGGGCTTTTTATTTTCACTTAGCGATGTTATCGCTTAGCAGCGATTTTTTTCTGCACAAATTAACATCGCTAAGCGAGGCACCACTGTAAAATGAAATTTACTAAAGGAAAACTTCCCACAGCAAGAAATTTCAGAGTTTCATTCAGAATTAGATCCTTTTCAAAGTCTTCTTTTGGCATGTCGTTTGCAATCCGCTTACAAAAGAGGCCCATCTCATTAGGAAGCTTGCCAGCCATATTTTCCTTCCTTCCTTGAGGGAATTTTGACAAGCAATGTTGAAAAGTTAGTGTTGCTTTCGCTGCTTCTTCACCTTCTTTTTCAGTGCCTTTAGGAGACCAATGAGAAGTACTTACAGAGGTCTCGGTTTAGTGCCTGACATCCCTCTTGTTAAATCATACACTATGTTATCTTCTCTCTGTGGAGTTCCAGATAGAGACAAGATTCTTGGACTTTCTAGACTGGAAATACCATCGTTGGAAGACTTTATGGTTTAACTAGGCCTAGTTCCACCCAGACTTCCTACTCATAGAGAATGTTCCCAGCTTGCACTGGGACAGGAACAGGAAGTTTGGATGAAGCTAGGCCTAGCTAAGTCTCAAAGCAATCCATTTGAGGCCTTTGTCCTAGGTGAGCCATATTTAGATGTCTGTCTGTCAGGTAGAACTTGAATGAAGTTTTATGGGATCTGTAGTCCAAAAAATCTGAAAAGTCATTTGGTAAGATACAATTCTCCTGGAGATACCTGTAAATTAGGTAGAATTCATGGAATGAAGCATGAACCAGGGCACAAAGAGGGGGGGGAAGTTGTACAAAAATGCAAAAGTGGGATGGATATATTTGTCTTCTAGATTCACTGGTTCTCAAACTGGGGGCCCTCAGATGTTAATGGACTGCAATTCCCAGAAGCCTTCATCACTTGCTATGCTAGCCGGGATTTCTGGGAGCTGCAGTCCAAGAACATCTGGGGATGCAAGTTTGAGATATATCTAGATAGAGAGTTTTTAAGTGCTTTACCTTTGCCTTTGCAGTGGTATCCAACCTTGGGCCTCACTTCAACTCTCAGAAATCTTGGCCAGCAGAGGTGGTGGTGAAGGCTTCTGGGAGTTGTAGCCCAAGAACATCTGGAGGCCCAAGGTTGGGGACCACTGCTGTTGGGGACAACCTGGGACTGTGCAGCTTGCCCAAGACTACCCAGGCTGGCCGTACTCGCAGAAGGCACCATGGGGAATCAAACTCCCAACCTTTGGCTCCACAGCCCAAGACCTAAACCATTGAGCTATCTCTACTGGGTCCATAAGACTGATTTGCCCATATTTTAAAAGATGAGATCTCTTTACAGGTGGCATTATGACTCAATTTAAAATTCTTTCCTGTGTTGGTGGAAAATTGGGCTAGATAAATTTTGGGGCGCCATCCCACTCCAATGGGTCTGCCTTACCTCTTACCTCTTTTCTCTGTGGGAAATATTTTTAAAAAATATTCAGACCATATTAGCTGCAACAAATTATCGAGATAAGGCAAGCCCAGAACAGCTAACAAGCTGTAAATTATTGTTAAGCCGGCATTGAAATGTTGCACAGCCCTAACGTAATATCAAGCCTGCTAAAGAAGGTAGATTTCGAACAGTTTATCCGGACACCGTATCTTTCGTTAACCTCACCTAACGAGGAGATTTGGGGATCTTCCATTTGCAGAAGGAAGAGAATATCCATTTGGGAACTGACTGGGGGGATTTGTAGAGTGGGAAAAAAGTAATATTTCCAAGGACTGATGACATATTACAGACTTCTATAATTCTTCTTGAAGCCCAAGAGGAATTATATCTAGTTCTGCTTTCCCTGCTACCAGAGAGATAAGGGTGGGTGTTGAGTTTCATTTCACTTCCTAATATATAAGTTCACAAACATCTTCTGTGGGACAGAACAAACTTGATATTTTAAAAAGATTATTCTTGGGAGCAACAGATCGGTCCCTTCTTGGAATTGAACCCAGTTTCTAGTCCCAGTGAAAGTAGACAAGATGAATCAGTCCCTCGGTGGTAAGCCAACACTTACATTAAAACCCCGTTGTTTTAATTACTCCAGTTGGGATTAGCAATAAGATTTCGCCCAGAGTGATTTACTCATCAAAGTCTAGTTTTGAATCCCTACCCATATATATATTTTTAAGGGCTCATCTAATGAAGAAAACCAAGCAGGAACCATAGATTGAGTCATTTCATGGATCCATGTTGGCCAACACAGCTTGGAAGCAACAGGCCTCCGGGGTATGGGTGTTTCATAGACCTGTCTAGAAATTCCTACTATGGCCTCGTGGTCTCCCATCCAAATATTAACCA